GCGTACCTTAGTTCGATTTGGGGGTTTAGTGTAGACCAAGCCTTTGTCTCTTTCCCAGGCCAGGAGGTCACCTGATCTTTGTTCTCCAACACCTTCAGTTGGCACCTTTGCAGAGGAGGGACCCAGGCCATCAGGAGACAGGGCATCACAGGATCACACTGGGTCCCTAGAGTTCTGCAACCATCACCCCCCCCCCGACACTCGAGAACTGCATAGGGGAAACTGAGGCACCCACACAGCACTCAGAGAAAACATTAAGAACATTCCCACTTGGTCACATAGGCGGCTATTAGGCAGGGCAGGAATGGTGTCCCTAGCCTCTGTTTGCCAGGAGCTGGGAATGGGCGACAGGGGATGGATCACTTGATTCCCTGTTCTGGTCATTCCCTCTGGGGCACCTGGCATTGGCCGCTGTCGGATGACGGGAGACTGGGCTGGATGGATCTTTGGTCTGACCCAGTCTGGCCATTCAAATATCGTTCCGTCAATGAGAAAACAACCATACAAGTTTATTAGCTAGAGAGAGGTCGATTTTTCAGCGATAAAGGCATAAAAGGTGGGCGTTGGTTACAAAGCTAAACACGCAGTCGAAACCCTAAACGTTACCCAGGCTTAGTACGATTTCAAGGAAACAGCTTTTCTCACCTCCCCAGACGTTGCAGGTCTCAGTACAGAAAACTGACGGGTTAACCACACACCTCGTTCGGAACCGGAAGTAGGCAATCAGCCAGCAGCAGAGAGGACATAGTGAAGTTTCCAAGCAGTATTAAGTTAACGTTCAGTTGTTTCGTTCAGCGGTAGGAACGGTTCAGAGTTACAAACAACCGCCCTTCCCGAGGGATTTGTAATTCCAAGGCTCTACCGTTGCTAATGGTTGTCTAACACCTGTGGTCAGTCCTCTCTTGACAAGGGAGGTGAAGCACTGGAATGCGTTCCCTAGGGAGGTGGGGGAATCTCCTTCCTTGGAGGTTTTTAAGACCCAGCTTGACAAAGCCCTGGCTGGGATGATTTAGTTGGGGTTGGTCCTGCTTTGAGCAGGGGGTTGGACTAGATACCTCCTGAGGTCCCTTCCAACCCTGATCTTCTATGATTCTAAGGAGGAGCTACTCTGTGGCAATGTGTTTCAGTAACAGACACGCAGTAAAATCTCATCGTGCCTTAGGCAGTGCTGGGTGCACATTGTAACCGGACGGTGATAGTCAGCAGATTATGGCTTTTCAAGTGATACCGTAGGCTGTCGCTGGGGGCTGCGTGCGCAGGCAGACGGGTCCTTCCCCGAAGAGATCAGTTAGACCAAGCATGGGAGAGGAAACTGAGGCACAGAGGGGAAGGGACTTGCCCAAGCAGGCCGGTGGCAGAGCCAAGGGATGGAACCCAGGAGTCCTGGCTCCCAGCCCTTCTTGCTCTAACCCACCGCCATGACCATGCATGCGTGTGTGCCCAAAGACACTGCCATCCCCCCCCCGCTCTCTTGGGGGCCCATGGGGGTCTCTGGCTGGCAGCCGCCCCCCGCTGGGAAGAGGTGGAGGTCTCTGCCCCACCCTGATTTTCTCTCCCCCCCCCCCCCATGCCCAGGTGAGCCAGTGGTACGAGCTGGTGGTGTTCACGGCCAGCATGGAGATCTACGGCTCCGCGGTGGCTGACAAACTGGACAACAACCGGAGTATCCTCAAGAGAAGGTATTACCGGCAGGTGAGTGGGGGGGCGGGGTGTGGGGCAGGGTGGGGGGGAGTGGGATTGCAAAAGGTGGCAGGGGAGAGAGGATGGGGAAGGAGGGGCGGGGCTTGGGGTCTGGGGTAGGGTTTAGAGGCAGCTGGGGTGTGGCTTTGTAGAGCAGTGGGGCTTTGGGGGGCTGGGGCGGAGCTTAGAGGAAGCTGGGGGCAGGGCTTTGGGGGCGTGGGGGGCTAGGGCGGAGCTTACCCCTGTAAGCTAGGGGAGAGGCTTTGGCTAGATGAGCTGGTGGGTGATAGACTGGGAATCAGGAGAAGGGGGCGGGGCTTCAGCTGCTGGTAGGGAGCAGCCAATCGCCTGCTGGGTGGCAGCTGGGGTGCCCCCGTCTCTCCCCCTTCCCCCCCCCGATTTCCCGGCATGGCCCCGGCGGGGGGGAGGCAGCCAGGGTCCCGGCTATGGGGTGGGAGGAGCGTGGGCTGGGGCACTGGGGGGGGCACCCCAGGGGTTCGTAGATGCTCACCCCCCCGCTCCCCTGCCCCCCTCCAGCACTGCACTTTGGAGCTGGGCAGCTACATCAAGGACCTGTCTGTGGTGCACAGCGACCTGTCGAGTGTCGTCATCCTGGACAACTCGCCGGGCGCCTACCGGAGCCATCCAGGTACCTGCCTGCCCCCGCGCTGCCCCCCGCCTCCGCTACCCACCGGCTCCCCGCGCTGCCCCCTCGCTACCCCCCGCTACCCGCCGGTCCCCCGCGCTGCCCCCCGCCTCCGCTACCCGCCGGCCCCCCGCGCTGCCCCCTCGTTACCCGCCGGCCCCCCGCGCTGCCCCCCCCGCTACCTA